TAGGGCAGATTTTGACAGGAGATGGAGTCTGTTTTCACCAACATTTCTATAAAATCCATGGAAGAGCTTGTGTTTACACCACTCTAAGAGTACATCTTGCTGATCGAGCTTATTTTGCTCACTGAATTGGTGTAAGTTCTACTGAAAAAGCCTGCTCTTGCTGCTACAGATTGCACGTATGCTAGGTTTGCTGAGATCGCTAACCTGAAGCTCCTCTAGCACAGATTAGACTCAAATTACGGAGAAATCTGGTTGTGATGTTAATGTAATGCCTGGAAGATCAAATCTCCATGTTCTCTTCACAGGTATCATGGGTTTCCGCGATAAATGCTTTTTATAACTCTCCTGATAGATTTCTGAGCTGTTGTTCAAACCCAGTCAGGAAGGTGCCGTCTAGCAATCTCCTCTGGTGTACCCAAAGGTCTCTGTCCCCTGCAGTGCCACGGAGTTCATTCTGCCCTGTTTCCTTCGTATCTTCCTTTAAAGACCAAAAGATCCTTTAAAGCACCCTTAAACAGAACTATTCCAGGAGGATATGGAAAGCCATGAGTTTGTGGACAGGCTTTTCCTCTGACTGAAGTTTTTTTCCAAAGAGGACCTGATTTCTCACTACCCCTCACCTCCATTGCAACGTCTCCCATTAAAACCAGAAGACCCAGGCACCAGCTGTCTCACGGCAGTCTCCTGGCTGTATGACTCCAGACAGCACCATCCCTAAGGCTTCAAGAGCGCAGGAAGACTTTGGAGGTAAAATGTGAGTGCAATTGCCAACTGAACATCATAGATGCCCTGTGGTGAAACCATGAGGCTGTTTCCTGGGCTGGAACATGGCCGCCAGCAGGGACATCAGGCAGAGCTTGAGGCATGGGGCATGTCTGGGGGGAGGAGGGTATCTACCATTTCCACCAGCACAGTCCACAACTTGAGCTGTTGCTTAGCCCAGCCCAGGAGTCAGCATTGGAAGTGCCTGAGAGCAGCCCCTCTCCATAGTGCATCCTCTGCTGCTCCTGAAAAGATGGCTGTAACACCAAGGGTAGGAAGAGTTCATCCTCTTCCATGCCAGCCCAGGCTTATCGAGGGGTTGGGAGGCTCCGGTGTGGCACAGGAGGGAGCTGGGAGTGTGCTGTGACTGGGTGGAGGAATGTGGAGGCTCTTTCCAAGTGCCTTGGCCCATCAGGAACTTGGCCTGAATTTTCTTCTCCTTGCTGCCTCTCCTATCTGAGCACTTCCCGGGGGCTGCGGGCAGAGATGAGCTCTCCCAGCACCTGGCCCGATGCTCCTCAGAGAGCTTGCATGGATTACTGGCTGCTGCTTCAGATCAGCAGTGCTAGGCAGGAGCGAGAGGCAGGTCAGGGATGCCAGAAGGTGCTAAGCTCTGCTTGGCTGGAGGGCTCCAGGGAGGCAGGAGGCATGGGATTTGGCTGGGTCTAGGACAAACCTGTGCCCTTTTGCCCCCCAGGCATCCCTACCCCATGCTCTGCAAGGGAAGAGGCTCTGCTGGCACGAGGCAGCGGCCAGGACAGGGAAGCAGGAGGGGGCTTTGGCCAGAGCATCACCTGGGGTGCTGTGGGTGGGGGTGGCCGGTGGGCCAGGGCTGGCCGCAAAGGCCTTGGAGACGAGCATGTGTCGTTCCCTCTTTGGAAGAAGTTGGGACTTTTTGCATGTTTCTCGTGCTCACCCGATGGGGTTGCAGCCCCTGGCCCAGGTGCGGCTGCAGGTTTGGGTGTGCTGAGTGTTTATAGCGCCTCTATTGCTTTTGAAGATAAGGACATGTTAGTATTTTATTGCCCCCTTTCTTCATCTGAGGCAGCATCCAGAGCAAGAAGAAGAGAAGGGAAGGACTCGTTTCCTTATGACGGGGGATTAGTCGTGGCAGCCCGGCCCTCCGGCGAGGGGCTGCCAGGCTCCCTGCTCCACCATGTGTCCTGCAAGGTGAGGGCTCCTGCCCGGGAGCTCAGAGGACGGAGTCATTCCCCACCCAGCCCTCTTCCCACCCTTCCTCTGCCTTTCCCCCGGCTGCCCTTCGCATCCCTCTACCGTCCTGAGCTGGGGCTGTGCTCCTCCGTGGCTTTCCTGCGGATAAACCCAGAGCACCCTCAGCTTTTCCCACTGAACTGGTGAGGGGCCAGAGGTGAGGTGAGGGACCGGCTCTGCACGGCGCTGGCTGGCTCGGCTCCATCCCTCCGCTCACGCTTGCCGTTGGCAGGGCTGGTTCCCGGGGCGCTCTGGGCTCCTGTCCTCTCTGGCCCTGAGCTGGGTCACGTCCAGCCTGCCCTCAGGGACCCGGCTTATCGGTAATGGGGAACGTGGCTATTGCACGAGGCAGAGATAACCACCGCCACCGCATTTGTGCACTCGGTGTCCTTCCCTTCCCCATCCTCCGCTCCTGCTGGCAAAGAAGTGGAAAACCCTTTTCAACCTGCCTTGCCCTGTCGCCAAGTTTCACATCTTTGGGTGCGTTCAAGTTAGAGAGAGCTGGGAGGGGAGAAACCTTCACCTCCCTGCGCCCACCCAGGCTTAACGCAGGGGCTGCCCCTCGGCGGGGCTGGGGGAAGGCTCGCCCCCTTCCCGGTGTGATGCTCCTCAACTCCTCTCCTGCTGTGCCGCAGCTGAAGCCGATGTGCTGCGCCCACGGAAGGGGGGTCTGGCTTTGCACAGGTGATTAAGAAACCTGAGGGGGTTTGGGGGATGTTGGGGGCGCTTGCAGTGCCTCTGCGCTGCGCCCGTCTGCCCAAATCACGGGTGTTTCTGTACGCGAACTCCTCGCCCTGCCTGCCCCCGTCTGTGCCCGCTGCCTCTCGCCGTCGGGGGAAAGCCGTGCAAACGCCGACTCCTCTAAAACCAGAAATCTTTCCCTTCTGCTGCTTGAATCAAAGTGTTAATAAACCCCACAGCAATCAAAGTCTGAATCGAGCGGTTTCAAATGCCCCTTTGTTTAATTAGCGGAGCCCCAGCCTGCAGACACAGGCAGCGCTGTCTGGCCCCGCAGCCAAGGGTGGGAGGCGAGGGCGGAGGACGCGGCGCCCAGGAATTCCTCCTCTTCAGAGGCACGACCTCTCGTACCAACTATTTTCTCGCCTCCTCTCTGCGTCAGCTGCCCAGAAACAAAACATTTACGGCGGAAGGACTTAAGTGAACTCACGGCATCTCCTGGGGGGCTGCAGCTGACAGGCGAAGCCCCCTGCACGCTTTCCATCCTCTTTTCCCCAGGGCAGCAAAAAGTAACTCAGCCGGCCCCGGGGCTGAAGTGATGCTTTGCCCCTTGGCCATGGAAAGAGGGTGACTGTCCTTTACCTTGAAATCCACCCGGGTCCCTTCCAGCGAGCGTCACCCCAGGGATGGTTCCCTGGGTGGCCCCTTTCTCGGTGAGGAGGGGAGAAAGCATGACTCGCTGTTATCAGGAACATGTTAACCCCATGGCAAACATGATTTCACTGGTGCAAGGGTAACGGTGGTGACGTCTGAGCGGGGAACACGGTCCCTTCCTCTCTGGGACCTAATCTAAATTGCTTTACGAGGGGGCAGCAGATACACCAAAGCCTCCTGCTCCTCAGGGGACAGGGAGCCAGGGCAAGGGGGTCCCCGGGCGGCCCTGTGCTGTGGCACAGCAGCGCAGGGGTTATCTCGCCTCCAGCAGTGGGACGTCAGAGGGGGCATGGTGGTTAAAAGGTACTTGCTCCCTGGTGGGCTGCAGGGCTGGGCTGCCTGCACCTCCTTTCCTCCTGCCGTGCCCGGGCACATGCCCGGCACCCCTCGGTGCCACCAGCAGCCTGTGCGAGTTGTCGTGCTGTTGCTGCTGTGCAGGGCTGCAACCACGTAGCACGTCCCACCGCTGCCGAAGGGTCGCATGGAGCAGTCTTGGTCCCTGCCTGCCCGTCCCTTGGAGCTCACTGGTGGTGTTTTTCCTCCCAAAACAGCCCCTGCAATGATCCCCGGGCTCAGGACCCTTCTGCTGCTGTGTTGGCGTGCGTAGCCTCTGCCATGGCCAGCGGATGCCTCGGGTGCTTGGGACCATGTTGCCTCCTGGGTGCTGGTGCTCACAGCATCGTGGGATGGAGGTGCGGTGATGCTGGGGCTCTCCCCACCACCTGGGGACTTTGAGGTGCCACATGCACCCGGGGGCAGTGAATCCCCCGGAGGGCACCCCAGTCCCAGTGCTACCTG